GAGGGGGAGGGGCAGCCCATTAGCACCCCATGATTGCAGTGGATTGATATCCACTGCAACTCGCCATGTTCTCCGACCAGTCCTTGTGGTCATAGTTCTTGTAATACTAACGAGAGCTGACATTTATCCTTTTTGTGTGCCAAGAACTGAGCCGAGCACTTTCTATGCCTCGTCTCATTTATTCCTCACAAAAACGGGAGAGCTAAGTATTGTTTGTATTCCATTTCGCTGAAGAGGGAAAACTGAAGCCCTCAGAGGCTGTGCAGGCAGTTAGTGAAGGAGCTGAGGCTGCATCTCACAGTCACAATGCCATGCGCTCAGCCACCACTGGCCATTTCCACCCATAGGGAGGGACTTTCCTGGGGGGCAGTCTGTGTGGGGACAGAGAGTTTAGGGGCACAGTGTGATCTTAAGGACATGAGGCTCCTTCTTGCTTTGTCCTCATTCTGCTGCAAATTCGTCTTGATTAAGACACCGTCCCCAGGAAGGCTCTGTGGCAGCTACCGTAAGGGAATACATTGGGCCATTAATGGGGTTAATTCAAGAGATAAACTCCAAATCTCCTTAGAAAGGCCCTAACCCAGAGAATACATCCCCTTGGCTCCCTTCCTACACTGAAGGAAGATTAAGAGAGATGAGAGTAATGAGGGACCTCAATGAGACCCAAGGAAGGCCTTCCCAGCAGTGAGCGGTGTGGATACTATGAGGAAAATCTCAAAACATCTTTTCTGGAGACTACGAGCACAAAAGTCAGGGTCTCAAATGTCTGGAGCTGTTTTCCAGTTCTGCCAGCAGGAAGGAGGATGAATTCTAGGTCCCCGAGCGCTTCCTCTTACCCCCAGCCCCATTTCATTGTGGAGGCGCAGCACCCGATTTTCTACACTCACGTTGCAGCTGGAGATCACGCCATCACCCCCAGCACAGATCATGTTGGTCTTCACGGAGCTGCCCCACCAGCCACGGCTGGAACATGTGGCATAGTCCACAACTAGCAGCTGGCCCTGCTGCAGGATGTCAGGAAGAGCCCCGTTGGCTGCGTGAGATGAGAGAGAAGGCGTTACAGGGACAAAGGGACTCCTGAGACTAAAGAAGTACTGGGTTTTCTGGCCAGCCCCTTTTTTTCTGGTCACTCTTACTTCCCATCCATCTATGGTTGCAAATGGGAGCAGCCATATTTGTGTATACTGTGTCCTCACAGTTGATTGGTTAGTGTTCGGGCCACTAACATGATTGGTTCGGGGGTGAACATCTGACTCAACCTCAGCCAATGAGCTCCTTCTCTGGGAATTTGGCATTGGGACTAAGAAATTCTAGCCAGAGAGGATGTAAACCTGGAGCTGTTGGCAGTGGCTGCCATTTCTTCTAGGGAGAGAAGAACGAAGTAGATTTACCAAGAAAGAAATTCTGTGAGAGGGTTTCTGGAGTTTCTTACTGTCTTCCAGCCCCTGACTCTATCTCGTTCCTGAAACCTGGCTGTGTCTCTGCCCTTGGTTGAGGCCAGCTCGCTTCATGGGTTTCTATCACTTACCTCTAATACTGACAGTGAACCTGCTGGCATTTGGAGCCCCAGGTTACGAAAAACATTCGAATGTGGTGAAGGTAGAGCTTTCCTAATGGCTTCTAATGGCACTGTCACCATCGCCTCCGTCACGATTATCATCGCAACTAATGGCAAGGATTAATTGTATTATAATTCTTCACTGTACTTTCTTAGGCTTTTCAAAACATGCTAACCCTCACAGTAAATATTTATTCCTATGTGACAGATGGGATATTGTAGCTAAGAGAGGTCAAGCAGCTTGCCCCAAACCACTATGATTAATAAGTAGTTAACACTTGTATAATATTCTACAATGTATAAAGCATTTTCATATCTCTTTTGTCATCTCTTTTAATTTCGCCAACTGTATTTCCATTTTACAGATGAGGAAACTGAGGCTCTACAGTGGCTTGCCCAAGGTTACAGAGCTAACCAACAGCTAAGACTAAAAGCCAAGCATTTGGACTTTCCCTGGCTCTCACTGCCTCCAGTGGAATGCATTCTGCCCCGATGTTTGCTTAGTAAATTAACAAGAGGCTGTGCTTGTATCTCGATAAGTATAAGATGCCTCCCCCTTATCACTTCTGCTGAGTTTACATGTGTCCTTGCTTGTGCACATAAGTCATTCAAGAAGGCTATACTAATTTATTTGAGTGTATATATGTTGATGTACCTCCAGAAAAATATATCATTGATACTTACAGGTTTATATCATTGTGAAAAGAAAAGTCACTTGCATGAACCTTCCTAGACTTTTTAAACCTCTGGTAACATTACCAGGGAAGGGCAGGTCCTCTGTTCCTTCTTGGTGGCCTAGCATCATTGGATTTCTGACCCATGCGGTTTGTATCAAAAGGAGACTCATGCAACCAGGTTCTGAGCAGCAGGGTTAGGTGGCATGTGGGACAAGTAAGTTTTGATGTGGGGAGAGTAGGGTCCTTTGTGGAACCCCTAAAGCCTGAGGTCACAGAGTGAATGCTGTTCTGGACTGCAGCCTTGGGTCATACAGAGGGACTCATTCCATCATAGTGACAGAACTAACACAGAGCACCTACTATGTGCCAGGCACTGGTCTAAGTGCTTCCCATGGATTATCTCCTTCAATCCTCTTGACAGCCCTGTGATGCAGGTGCTGTTGTTATTCCCATTTTGCAGATGAGGAAACTGCGGTATGGAAAGGCTATGTGCCCAAGGTCACACAGATAGTATGTGTTGGAGCTGGGATTCGAACCCAGGCAGTCTGCCCTCTTATTAGTCTACACTATCCTGCCTCTTCAAGGTAGCCGCCATTTTTTCCAGATATCTTGAGATGATGAGTGCAGAGAAAGACCCTGAGTAGACAGGGGTGACATCGCCTCCCTCCCTTCCAAGCCTTGGGGCTCCCAGTGCCCACTTACTCTGCAGCCTTCCCCAGCCAGTGACATAGCAGACGTAGTTGTTGGGTAGGATGCTGCCGGCAGGAGGGAGGCAGCCCAGCTGGATCTTGTCGCTCAGGGAGACGGGGTTGGCCAGTTTGAGCAGGGCAATGTCGTTCCTGGGTTGGTAAAGAGGCAGAGCATAAAGAGAGGGTTGACTGCTCCTGCTCCAGCTTCATTTCTTATCTAGCCTCAGCTGGAACCACTGAACCTCCTGCTCGGCCAGTCCGATTGTGAATCTTCCCTCTGCTAGGGCTGTGAGGGATAGGGGGGCGGCTATGGTTAAATCCCAGGGTTGCTTTTTGTCTCTAGTAGAGCTCGGAGCCCTAAATTCCCCCGAGCCCTTTCAGGGGGCTGTTTAGAACAGGATGGGCAAGTAGATTTTGTCTTGCAATGTCCACTCTGAGGGGTTAGCCATGGCTGCCTGATGGGCTGTGTTGACAAAGATTCTGAGGTTCTGTCCAGGGTCAGCAAGGAAATCCATGACTGCTTGATGATGTCTGTCCTGGCCATAAACTCCGCGTTCAGTTAGAAAATGGCAGTAGATGCTCAGATGGAAAGGCCTTTTGCCTTTACTCTTTACTCTCCCCTCCACCTCGACTCCGCCCCCGGATACAGCCCTTAGTCTCACGCCCTCGTCTAGGAAACTGTTAGTGATTGGCAGATTGTGTTTTCCATGATGGCTGTAATGAGATCGCCCATCCCATAGGCACTTGTTACGATGTGATGTTGACACTCTGTCCATCAAGAGGTGGGTTTTGGGTTTCTTCCCCATGGATTGGGAAGGGGGCCCCAAAGACCTGTGATATAGAGGAAGAGATACCATACGACTTCTCAAACTAGGTCATGAGGAGAGATGCAGCTTCTGTCTTGTCCTCCAGGACACTTGTTCTTGGAACTCAGCCTCCATGCTGCAGAGAAGCCAAGGCCACTCAGAGAGGCCATGTGCAGATGGTCTGGACAACCAGCATCAGCCTCCACAGGTGAGGGAGGAAGCTTTATATATGATGCAGCCCAGCCAACACCGTCTAGTTCACGAGACACCTGAGTGGGAGCTGTCCAGCTGAGTCCAGTCAGACTATGAGAGAGAATTATAATACGTAACTGCTGCTGTTTTAAGCCATTAAGTTTTGGAGTGATTTGTTATACAGCAATAGATAACCAGAAGAGTGACAGTCATTGATAGGACAGATATTAAAGGTCCTTAGGGCCGATGGCCTTTTCAGTTCTAATACACATTCTTAGCCATCTCTCCCATAATCCTCTTCGCATTTTCCCATGCCTGCTGGACTGCTCTGGTCACTGCCCCTGTACCACCTGCCCATTCTGTGACCCATCCCTTGTCCTGGCAGTTCTCCTAACTTGAAAAGCCCCTTCTGTACTTTCTGTCTACCCACATCCTCCCCATCTCTCAAGGCCTTCCTTGTCCTGTTACGACTTTCCCATGTCTTGTGTGTGTGTTGACAAGCCCTCTGAGGGCAGGGACTGACTCGTGACGCACGGACCCCCTGCATCCTCTGTGAGCATCATCAGCGCTGGACCACTGGCTGTACTGGATGAAGGAACACAGAGTGTTACGGCCACAGGGTGTGCTCACTGGGGCTGTGATGAGGAGTCTTCTGGAAGATTTGGCAGAGTGAGCTCTCTGGGCAGCCATTCAGGGGTGGCATCTTGGGCTGCAGAAGAGGCCACACGTGTGCATAAATGATGCAAATCTGTAGCATTGCCGGGTACTTCTTCCTAGAGGCCTTTGTGGAACTGCAGACCTGTTCTTCTGAACTGAGAGAGGAGAGGATGACGGACACCTTTGAGCTCTGGGAAGGTGATGGGGAAGCATGGAGAAGGGACGATAACTTTTGATCGCAGCGATGATAAAAGCGTGCCGAAGCACTGCTAGAATCAGGCTCTCTGCTCAGTGCCTCGCACTTCATTTAATGCTCATTTCTCGATCTGTTGACCTCAGGCAAGTTCCTTAACTTCTCTAGGTCATGGTTTCCTCATCTGTGAAATGTGGAGGGTAACGGTACCACCCTCCTAGGGCGGATGTGAAGAATAAATAAGATGCTACATGGGAAACATTTGTTACCAGGGAAGCGATAAATGTTAGTATGTATGATTGTGTAAACCAGCTTTTGGAGTCAACGGAGAGCATGGGGCAGGCATCCTGGATTGCAATTTCTGGAAGGTTGGGGCTCCCTGACACTCCTGCCGGTTTTCACGGATGACTGCATTTGGCTGGGCACAGACACCAGTGGGCGCTGGACTGCCTGTGCTTGTGGAATTAGAAAGCGGAGCTTCCCCAGCTGCAACGAGCTGCTCAGGTTTAGGGGTTACCATAAACCTCATGGGGCTGGGGTCCCTGGGTGTCCCTGGGGTCCCAGTGATGCTGCTTCCCGGGTGCCTAGAACAGGGCTTGGTGCATAGTAGGTGCTCAACAGATATTTCTGGAATCAGGGCGTGAATGAATCTATGGCTCTGAATTTCATTGATTACCACCTGGAGCTCAGGATTAGTAATCGCAGAAGAAACCTAATGCTCCAGCACATATTCTCTGGCCTTACTATGTGGCCCCTCCGCGGGTTAGGGGCTGCAGCTTCAGGGGTGAATCAGGCACAGCTCAGCCTGTGTAAAATTCCATCTAGAAGAGGAAGCAGACATGAGCTAATCTCTAATGGGCTACGTGCCATGACCGGGCCTGTCCCTTGAGAGCAGGAAGGGACAGGTGAGTGGTTGATTTTGCAGAGCACCTTCCCTTTCATCACTTCCTCCCCATCACCCTCCCCAGGGAGACCGGACCACCCCTGTCCCAGGCCCTTTTCTAAGTGTCTTACGTACATATCACATTTAATCCTCACAACCACCCTAAAGGCAGGCATCGCTATTGTCATTTTAATAGAGAGGGAACAGAGGCACAGAAAGGCTGAGGAACTCGCGCGTCACACGGTCACTATTTATATCTAGGCCATCAGGCTCCAGGCTCTCAGCTCCCAATCAGTACCTCGCATTGTCTCACTGCCATCCTTAGGCCCATGAGCTCCCTGAGAGGTAGCACGATGCCCTGCACTTCTCTGTGTGTTCAGTACTCAGAGTCGAGTGCCCAACATGGCATATGGCACGTAGAGGGGAGGTGGTTCAGTAAAGACTTCGATTGGGCATAGGATGGTATCTGATCATCTGAGAGGAAGGTGAGATGGGGCTATTGTCATTCCCCTCTCATGGGTAGGGGACCATTACTGGTGGGTGAATGAGCGCTGAGACTCTTGTCATCTTTCTGTATATATTATCCCTAGGCTGTCCCTACATGGTCTCAGGGAGTCTTTGAAAATGTAAAAAGCCTTGTTGGGAGTGCGTACAGGGTGGGGGAAGGCAGGAGGCGCTGTGTCCTACCCCAATGACAGTTGTGGGGTCTGCAGACCCATCCCTGTATCCCCAGGGCTTGGCGTAGAGTAGGTATGGTGTTAGTGAGTGCCTGGGGTGGACAGGGGCTCGCTCTGCAGGCTTAACTGGCGGGAGACCTAGGTGGCTCTGACAGTGTTTGCCTCTCCCTCCCTCCAGTTCACACCCTCAGCCCAGGCATCTTTGGGGAGAGCTTCCTCCTCCCTAGTGACCGCGTGACTTACTCGAGTTCCTCAGCCTATCTGTGCCTCTGTTCCCTCTCTATTAAAATGAGGACAATAGCGATGCCTGCCTCTAGGGTGGTTGTGAGGATTAAATGAGATATGTACGTAAGACACTTAGAAAAGGGCCTGGGACAGGGGTGGTCCGGTCTCCCTGGGGAGGGTGATGGGGAGAGAGCGAAGAAAGGGAAGGTGTGGAATCAACCAGAGCTACTTCCTCCTCCCTACAGAAGGAGCCAAGGAGCGGGCAGGGTGGCTCCTGCTGCCTTTGGCTGGGACTCTTCCCCTTGGCCATGACCCTGCCAACCCACTCCCAAGTGCACTCAGACAGAAAGTACCCTTGGGTGAGCTTGTTGGGGTTCCAGTCCTCATTCACCACGAGCTTGGAGACCTGGACAGCCAGCGAGCCATCCTCATCCGTGGAGAGGCTCTGCCTGCCGAGCAGCACGCGGTAGGTCCTGGAGGAGCTGGAAGAAAGCCGGGCGGACGGAGAGGGTCAGCTCCAGGATGTCCTGTCCTCTATCTGGCCCCCCATGGGCAGGGACTCCTCAGTGCATGGATGGGCCCCATAAGCCACTAGTTGGCACTGGAGACTTTTTCTTCTCTGGGGCAAGTGTTTCATTATAACATTATAACTATATAGCAGTTATAACCACACTATACTAACTATAAACTATAATGTAACCTAAATGTATAATATAAACTCTGGATTATCATGAGGGAAATGAAATGAATGCAGAGAACACAGCGGTCATTTACCCTCAAGGGCGTTTTCTAGTTTAATCCCCTACCTCTCATTTTTAGATGGGGAAACTGAGGCTCAGAGAGGAGTTACTGGTCGGAGTCTTACAGCTAGTTAGTGAGACTCTAGAACTAGAAGCCGGGACTCCTGACTCCCAGACCTCTATTATTTTTCCCACCACCTCATAAAACTTATAAATGAGGTGGGGAGAAAGGACCGCCTCGGCCAACACAAGAGTCACCCCGAAACTCCAGGAAGCGCTAGCTGGGTGAGATAAGCAGAGGTCTTACGTTGGGAGGGAAGGACAGGTGAACAATGACTGTCTCAGAAACTGTTCTTTCCCTGTGGGCCCTGTATGGTAATAGCTCACTTTTATTGAGCACATATTAAGTGCCAGGCTCTTTAACGCATCATTTCATTCAATCCACACTAAAGTCTGTTATCTGCTTTTTTTTTTTTTTGACCTGGAGACCAGAATGGAATTTTGTTTTGGTTATTTTCTTTAGTAGGTATAACTTTGTTAACTTGAAAATGAAAGCTTACTTTAATTTTGCTTACTCTGTCTGTGCTGTCCCATTCAGTAGCCACTTGCCACATACGACTATTTCGTTATCTGCTCTTCTGCAGGTGATGGCATTGAGGCTTGGGGAAGTCATTCAAGTCGTTTAAGGGAACCCAGTTTCAGATCTGGAGACCGCATTTAGTACCCCCAAGAAGACAGGAAATGGGTCTCCCCTCCCCCATATTCCCTTTCAGTGTCCCGCACAGGGCACTCAATTGATGTCATGTATTGATCCTTCAACTGGCCAACAGACTGATCTATAAGGCTTGTTTCTCAACTAAAGCTTGTTTCTCGGCCAGGCAAATGGTTATTTGCAAGGCCCCCTTCTAGAGGGTGGTTCAGGCCATTTGGGTTCCAGCTCTTAGATGACGAGCGCTGGCTGGTGGGATGAGCGGGCTGGGTGACAGGGGAACAGCAGTTACCTGATGCAGTGGGCAGCTGTTAGGACCCAGTCCTTGGCCACCAGGGACCCTCCGCAGGTGTGACGCCACTGGCCGCTGGAGTAGTACTGCAGGGAGATCTGGAAGGAAGCGTGGGTGCTCTGGTAGCTGAACGAGCTGGGCCTCACTACCCTTCAGAATCCCCGATAGCAGTGCGAGGGTACGGTGAGCGAGGCACTCGTCTCGGGTGCAGAATGTAAGCGGGCACCGGGAAACTCAGTAATCAGAATAAATAACATTTTAATGCAACGTTAAAAAAATAAAAATGAACACAAAAATCCATGATGCACAAATTATCAAAACTTTAAAGACACGATTAAAAACTAACTGTTCCGAACATCTTTCTGTAATGGGATTTGTTGGGATTTTCCAACGAAGAGGATGCTACCCCTCCCGACCACCTTCATCTCCCACCTGGATTATTATTATAGTTTCCTATTTGTTCTCCCCGCTCTCTCCCTCGCCCGTCCCTCACCCCATATAGTCTCCACGCAGTGGCCAGAATGATCCTTTTTAAATGTACGTCTGATTACGTCTCCTCTGCTCAGACTCTCCCCACTTTACACAGTGTAAAATCCTACGCCGTATGACGTACAAGGCTCTGTATGACCACCCGGACATCATCGGCTCCCACTCCCCTCTGATCCAGCCACGCTGACCTCCAGAAGGTTCCGCAAATACACCGAGCCCACTGCTGCCACAGGCCCTTTGCACTTGCTGTTCCTCCTGACTGCAATATTCTCTTCCCAGGTATCAGCACAGTTTTCTCCTTCACTTCCTACAGGTGTGTGGTCAAGATTACCTTCTCCAAGAAGCCTCGTATGACCACGCTGCACATGCACATGTGCACACTCATGTCCACACACGAACGCCCATGGGTATGGGCAGTGGGGTGGGGTGGGTGGCTCCTTATTGTAGCTGGAGAAAGCACCTCTTCTTCCTCCCCTCGAGGTTGACCAAGGCCACAGAAGTGCATTTTATGGGTGGATTTCCCCATCTTTGCCGATGCGGTAGATCTGACGGCAGAGGGCACAGGAGCGGCATGCGGAGGTGGGCGCAGGGCGGGAGGAGGTGTAGTGCGGGGGACTCACCTGCCAGGGCCAGCTGTTGGGCCTCGCGTCTTCACCTCCGACCACTCTGGGCAGTTGGGGCTGGTAAGTGGGGATCCCACAGCCGAGAGCTGTGAAAAGAGAGAGGATTGTGAGTCAGGGAAGCACTGACCCAAACGGTGTAGTCCACACTTGCTGCGTGCGTTCCCCAGCCCCAAAGAGAAAATCTCGTTCTGGGAGGGTCCCGGGAGGTCATAGTGTCCTGCCCTTCGCTCCTCTTCTTTGGAACTTCGCTCTGGCTTCCTTAAAACCAGAGAACTGAGTCCAGTGGGGGCAGGGAAGTCCCATCCCGTTCCCATCAGGGGACGGACGGGGAAAGCACTTCTGGGAGACAGAGCTAACCTCCAGCCACCAACGCAAACAGCAGTAGGGCCCCGATCATGATAGCGGTAAGAGTCCTGTTCAGTGTGGCCTTGAGCAAGGCCCTGGTTTTATGAGCGGGCTTATCGGCCAGAGATATACTAGGAATACACAAGGTGGGGATTTTCTCAAAGCCCCGTGGAAAATAAGGCCTGTGTTTCAATATTTTTTTTTCCCATTTTCTCCCCCCATGCCACTGTGGATATACTTTGAAAAATATTCCAAAGGTAGATATTGAAAGATGGGTTCTATCTGCTTTCAAGAGACTATGTTATATGCTAGAGAAGGAGAAAAATATGGATTACTGGTCGTTGGAGTTGCGTTTTCAAAGAAAAGATTAGGCTGGCATGCTGAACAAAAAGCTTTCTAGCTCAGTGGTTCTCAGTGGGGCTGGATTGGCCATCAGGAGATATTTGACAGTGTCTGGAGACATTTTTGGTTGTCATGGCTGGGGCTGGAATTCTATTGGCCTCTAGTGGGTAGAGACTAGAGATGCTGCTAGACCTTCTACAATGCACAGGACAGCCCATCACAAGGAGTTATCTCACCCCCAAGGTCAATGGTGCTGAGGCTGAGGAGTCCTATTCTAGGCCATGGCTGGCTGTGTGACCTTGGACTAGTCACGAAAGCCTCTAGGCCTGGGGCCTGCCCATCTATGAAACAGGGAGAGAAAGATGTGTCCGGTTTGTTTGCGACATGGCGGTGAGGATTTGAAAAGCGCAGGGGACATGCTGATGGAGGAGAAGCATAAGACGTCTGCACCGTCGGGGTTTGGCAGCCCCAGCGATGGGGTGAAAGAGAGTGTGCTGGCTCGGGAGGACTTCATCGGAATGGATCAAGACGTATTTTATTGTCTGCTCCTCAGACAACAGTCGTTTGCACTTCTTTCTCTAAAAACTTCATCTTCCAGATGGGGTCACAGCAGGAGCCTCTTAGAAAGGGGGACTGATGCTAAACACCACCTATCTGTCACCTTCACACGTCTTATCTAGCCTTACGAAACACTGCGTGAGGGGCCCCTGTTTCAGATGCGGAAATGGAGGTTCAGAGAGGTAAGGTGACTTGCACAAGATCACACAGCTTCTGAGACAGAATGGGAATTCCGGCTGAGGCTGGTCTGAGTTCAAAGCCCCTCTGCTTGATGCCATTGGAGATGGCATTCTGAATCTCTTAGTGCTACAATAAACACCCCCGTTTTTTTGTGAGGGGGAGGGTGGAGAAAATGAGCAGGGTTTCCTCACTCTTTCTTAGACCTTCACGCTCCTTGCTTGTGGTCAGAGTGCAGTGCCTGGCAGGCCAGGCTCTGGTGAGGCTGCCCTGCTCTGTGACCACAGGTTCTACCCTTGGTCCCAGCCAGAACAGCAGTAGATCTGTGGACTTCAACTGTTAAGACCTGGGTTCAAATCCTTGCTCAGCCAGATTTGAACGTTACATCTTGAATGAGTCACTTACCTTCCGGACCTGAGTTTCCTAGATAACAATCCACGAGCAGATTGCAGGGTCGTTGTAAGGGTGGGTGAGAATGTGGGCATGAAGGAATTCTGTAATCGCCCGCGGATCACGTGAAGGTGAGGCGAGGCAGGGGGGCAGAACCTGCTGGATATCAGAACACCTGGCCGCTGGTTCCTGCTGCACCCCTCGCTCCCCGTAAGTGCTGGGACTCTTGTTTACAGTCTGTAGCAATCGTTACGACAACAAACTTCCTGAAGTCTCCTATTTTATCTTGAAAGTTAATGTGAATTTGGCATTCTGCTCCATGTAGCTGTGTTTGTTTTAATATAAAGGTTTTTCCTGTGTGAAGTCACTGAGCAAACAGCAGTGTGTGATAGGAAGCGGTCTCCTGACCTCACACCGCGCGCGGGCTGGCCGTGTGACCCTCGGTAAGTTACACAGTCTCTCTTGCCTGGGATTGCCCATCTATGACAACAGAGAGAAGGACGTATGCCCAGTCCGTTTCACCACGTTGCTCTGAGGAGTCGAAAGTGACAGAAAACCTCATTTAAACAGGCTTAAGCCATCGGGCTATTGATTGGGCCACAAAACGGGAAAGCCCAGGAGCAGAGCGAACCTCAGGCGCAGCTGGATCCAGGCTCTGATGATGTCCACAGGCCTCGGCTTCTCCTCGCCTCTGCTCTTCCCTGGGAGGGTCCACCCTCAGGCTCCATCGAGGGGCCCGTAGCAGCTCCAGGTTCTCTCTTCTCACGGGAACAAGACGGCTACAGATCTGGCTCAGGGTTTCTCAGCTGCGGCACTATTGGCATTTCAGGTGCCGATTCTTCGTTATGAGGACTGTCCTCTGCATTGTGGGTTTGATATCACCCCTGGCAGCACCCACTAGGTGTCAGTAGCCCCCTCCCCTTCCTCTCCAAGTCATGACAACCAGAAATGTTTCCACGTGCTGCCTAATATACCCCAAGGAGCATAATCACCCCTTCTTCCTCTTTCCCCAGTTCTTGCTATTGTAGCTTCACATCCCCTCATCCTGAAACTGAACTTGAGTGAGAATCTTCTAGTAGCTTCCAGAAAGTCCCCCAACTGTCTGATTGAATCTGCTTCAAGTCATATGCCTGTGAGACAACTGTCTCACGGTGGGAGAGGGGAGGTGACAAGTCCCACTCCTAGACCTGGGCATGAGGCTCCACCCGACCACCGTGTAGGACGAGTGGGGGAGGGGTGGCACGGAAACAAATCCAGGCTTCTGGAGAGGGAGTGGAGGCTGGGGAGGCAGAGAGCCCACTCCTCCCTCTGGGGCTCAGTTTCCCATTTATGTATTGTTGGACAATAAGGTAGTTTGTAAAGTTCTAAACTGGGCTGGGTCCTTGAGGTCTCAGTGGGGGCAGGGACACACAGATGTGAACTTCTCACGAGGTTTATGACTCATTCGAAAGCCTTCCTCTAAGATGCCCTATGGTTCAATGGTTTGGGGCTTGGGTTTACACCTCGGTGCTTCTGTGCACTGACTCTGTGGTTTGGATCCTTGCTGCTCAGAGTATGGTCTGGACCAGCAGCATCAGCATAGCTTAGGAACTAGTGAGAAATGCAGACTCTCTCACTCACGCCTGCCAGTTCAGCATCTGCAGGTTAACGAGATACACAGGTGGTTCTGTATGTTGAAATTTGGGAAGAACTGGGGTAAGTTTCATCGTTCTTTTCCTTCGTTTCTTTACCTATCAAATAGAAGCAATAGTCATTCCACCTATTTCTTAGGTTTGTCGGTAGAATTAAATGTATTTACTCAAAACACAGAATAGTAAATGTTCAATTAAATGTTCATTCTTAAATCCTTAGACCTACAGGCCTCAGATATCAGGATAGCACAGAACTCTTCAAACTTTTCCATCAAAGAATCCTACTAGTTCAGGAGTTTGCAAACTTTTTCTGTAAAGGACCAGATAGTAAATATTTTAGCTTGTGGGCCATATGGTCTCGGTTGCAACTAGTCAACTCTGCTGTTGCAGTGCAAAAGCAGCCATATGGGCATAGCCGTATTCCAATAAAACTTTATTTACAAAACAGATTTGGTTTGCAGGTTCTAGTTTGCAGTACAGTAATGATCTGGGGTCTGGCAAGCAGCAGTCATCACAAGAAGTGTCTCCGAAGTCTCATTCTTCGTCTGGAAAGCTTGATCTGAATTTCGTAGCTTGCTTTATAGCATAGCTGGGTTTATTTTGAGGTAAGTTGTTTTTCTTCCCACCAAATCTCTATAGAAAAATCAGTGCTTTCGGAAGATGCTCCACGTTGATTCTTTGCCTTTACATGGCCCCCTGGCCCTCCACCGTGAGAACTTTTGCAGACACGTGCTCCAACTTGATAAGAGGGAGCTTCAGGGAACTGGCACCTGTGACCCACTGGGAACCAGGGATTTTCTCCTAAGGAACAGAGGGAGAGGGAAGATTTGCTAATAGGAATCCAGGGTGCGAGGTCAGCAGAAGTAGAGACTCCTTCTATCACAAGCTGCTGTTATTTCATTGGCTCCCAACAGGGACGGGGGGAGGGCAGGTGCCCATCTAATAGATGAGGAAACTGAGGCTCGGAGAGGTTCAGTGACTCGGTCACGGCCACGGAACAGAGTTCAGAGCCCCAGCCCATTGAGTTCCCTCTCATCGTTTATGCCATTCATTTGTGCCTGAAATAATGTGGGTGTGGTAGATTGCTGACATGGCCCCGATTCTTTACCCTCCACCCCCGTATCCATGCCTTTTGTCCTGTAACTTTTCAGTGTCCTCCCGGGAGGAGGGTGACAGATATGTGGCACTGAGCTGCTCCAGCCAGACTCAGACTTGATCAGCCAACTCCCAGCTCCCTAGACATATGAGTGATCCTAGGCAAAATGATCAGGGCCACCTAACTGAGCCCAGATGTGCAAGCAATAAATGCCCCCCAGCTCCCTAGACATATGAGTGATCCTAGGCAACCTAACTGAGCCCAGATGTGCAAGCAATAAATGCTTGTCATTGGATGCCGCTGAGGGTTGGTTGTTACGCAGCATTGTTAATTGCACCAGCAGTAGTTGGTACAGTGGGTGTGAGCCCTTCGCGAACATCTGTGAGCAATAATTCTTCTCTCAGGGTTCTATCTGGGCTCAGTGCCAGCTTCACTCAGGCTTTTTAGCGCACCCACAGTCTTCCTTCAGCCCCCACCGCCCCGGCATGGCCACTAGAGGACTTCAATGTATGAGGGGGACTTTAAGATTTGGAGATTAATGGCAGAATCACATGGTTGTTGCCACACAAGCTCTGGAGTCAGACTACCTGGGTTTAAGTCCTGGAGCCCCATTACTAGATATGCGATCTTGGGAAAGTTTTTTAAACCTCTCTGAGCCTCAGTTTCCTCCTCTGTAAAGGCAGATGATAATCAGGGCTGTCATGATTATTCAATGAGATCGTGTATGTGAAGCCCTTGGTTGGAGCCTGGCCCTCAGGTTACCTAGTGCTCAATGCACGCTGGCCATGGCAACTGCATCAGACACACGACGACACTCTAATGGGTCGGTCACTGGGATGTAGGCTCTCAGCCCCCAGGCCAGAAGTCCCCATGCCAAGGCACAAGGTGGAGGTGGGAGGGTCAGTGCCTGAGTGCCCGCTTTCGTTAAAAGAGATCGTGTATGTGAAGCTCTTGGTTGGAGCCTGGCCCTAGTGCTCAATGCACACTGGCCATGGCAACTGCATCAGACACACAATGACACTCTAATGGGTCGGTCACTGGGATGTAGGCTCTCAGCCCCCGAGGCCAGGAGTCCCCCTGCCAAGGCGCAAGGTGGAGGTGGGAGGGTCAGTGCCTGAGTGCCCGCTTTCCCTCGCTTCCAACCACTGGCGTGTGGCCTCTAGGACACAGTCCACAAAAGCTTGTTGTCACTCAGCCAGGTCCCAGGGAGCCCTTCCTGATCTCACCCTCCCCTCTCCACTGCACCCCCACCACATGCTCTAGATTTTGCCAGAAGGGAGGAGGGATGATGTCTTTATTTTTCATGGCTGCTTTAACAACTTACCATAAATGCAGTGACTTAAAACACAGAAATGTCTCTTCTTACAGCTCTGTGGGTCAGAAGTCCACGATCCCTAGGCTAAGGCAGGCTGGTTCCCTCTGCAGACTCTAGCGGGGGGATCCGTGTCCTTGCCTTTCCCAGGCTCTAGAGGACACCTGCATTCCGTGGCTTGCGGCCCCTTCTGCTGACTACAAAGCCAGCAGTGGAAGGTCATGGACTCTCCCTCCGACTCCGACCCCCTGCTTCCGTCCTCACGTCTCCCTCTGGCTCTAATCCTCCTGCCTCCCTCTTATAAAGACTCTTGGGGTGACATGGAGCCCAGCTGGATAATCCCGGATCATCTCCCCACGCCACGATCCTTAACGAGTCACATCTGCAAAATCCCCTTTGCCGCGTACGGCTCACGGGTTCACCGGTTCGGAGGACACGGACGTCTTTGGAGGGCCATTATTCCGCTCGCTTCAGAGACTTCGACTCTCGAACACAACAGTGGGTTTTGTCCCTGAGAATTTTGTTGAACAAACAGAACCATGGCACATGTTTCACCCTTTATTAGTTTATTAGCCAATAAAGAAGTTCGGATGATTCAATCATATTCCTAAAGGTTTATACAGATTTGAAACTGAGGGGCTGCTGTTCAACCCTATGCGGATGCCTCTTAAGTAAGTACTGACTTATTGCTGAATTCCCGAGCCCTCTGCGTTGGATGGGACCTCATTAATTTTGGCCTAGACCTTTGCAGCTGGCCTCCCTCTGTCACACTTGCCTGTTCCAAATCACTCTCCACACAGCTGTCAGACGAACGCTTCAGTGTGCCCATCTGACCACAGTGGTCACCTCTATCTACGACCCTCTACGGCTCCCTATTGCCCTCTACACAGAGCCGCAACACCCCCGACCATGGCTACGAGGCCTTCTGGGAGAGCCCTTGGCTCACGCTCCAGCCACATCGTTTGCCCCTCCCTGCTGGGGTGACCAACCATCCCCATTGCCTGGGGCCGTCCTGCTTTTAGCACTGAAAGTCTCGTGTCCTGGAAAACTCCTCAGTGCCAGGCCCGTTGGTCACCCACCCCCGCCACGTGCCTTATGCTCTAACAGGGGCAGCTGCTTGGAGATGTTTTTCTCGTCCATAAATGAAGTCTTTCCTGAGAATTGCCTTGGCATAGTGAGGTGTGGGAGGTACACCGTGGTCCCCACCTCTGGGAGCCAAGGTCTGACGGAGAAATAGGACAACTCGTAGACCCACCAGGGGCGGCTGGGGTGGGGGCACCTCGCGCTATAGATCGGCACATTCTCAGGAGCACCGTGGTCGGGGGGGGCCCCACGTGGGCTGTCCGACACTGGACACTGGGTCACTCTCTTTTTTGGCCCCACTTGCCCCCTAGTCAGCCTCAGGGGGGCTCTCCCTTCCCTGAGTCTTTGTGGCTCACATATTAATAGCCGTCCATTCCTGTGAACTTGCCCAGTTTCCCTTTCTGCCTAATACAGTGAAAGTGTTTCCAGCTCCGACCTGCCGTGACCGGATGTGGAAACCTGCACCCGCTGCGGGCTGGGCTGAGGTCTCCTCCTCCTCTACCCTCGCCGTGTCCAGCACGGGGCTGGCATGATCTCAGGGCTCATTAAACACTTCTTGATTCTGAGAGCTCAAGCCAACAGCGTCCATGAGATTTGCTCTGGGGTGGGAGGGCCTCCCATGTTTGTGACTGAGCAGGGGGTGTCCTCCTGTGGCCACTCTATCTGGGTCATGGAGGCTGTCCCTAGGGGAGACCCTATTCTCGCCCTGCAGCTGGGAGGCTTGAGGACCCACCAGACTCCTCTGTGGAGGCTGAACCGAGAAAAAGGTGATTTGATCAGGGCCCCAACAGTTCACAGCTGTGAGATGTTGGGGGGCAAGTGTCTGCTGTGTCTTTAACTCATATCCCCTCAGGTGCCAGGTGTCTTCCTGGGATACCCATCCACTAGTACCCCCTGCAGCAAATTCCAAGGCCTAGCCGGCCTGGCTGGGGCGTCTCTCTTTGAATCCCTGGTGTGGGAACTGCAGGGGAGGCACAAATCAAGAAGGCAGGCGGCTTGAGGGCCAAGGTTTATTGCGGTAACGGGGATCTATTTGCTGCCCGGCTTCCGAGGATGAATCACAGCTGCGTTTTCTGGAAGAGCAGAGAACAGAGTGAGGCCCTCTGGTGTGCGTGCGCGTGTGTGTGCGTGCGCGTGTGTGTGCGTGTGTGTGCGCATGCGTGCACACAAGGCTCTGCCCTGAGACCAGGAACAAGGGGACGTGGCAGGGAGCCCAGGGCCTTCACGAGCCGGTCTCTCGCCTCTGCTCAAGGTCTCTGTGCCCCCTCAGCCTTTCAGACCGCTGTGAAAATGGGGCTCAAAACCCATCCGCCCCCAGTGTGAAAGCCCAGAGCACGAGTGACCCTCTGCTCCCCCACCCTCGGGATATCTGTGGTCAGCCACGCCACCCCTTCTCCTCTGTGGGGCTCTCGTGGGCCCATGTTTCACTTTTGGGGGAGACTGGTGTGATGCCTGGAACTGGGACTAAGTATTTGCTGAAGCCTGTGGACGAACGGACGGGGAAGTTGACCACTGTTTCCTTCACTCCACCCGACTCAAGGCTTGCATGCAGTAAGCGCTCGATACTTCCTGACTGAGTAAAGGAATGAATGAATGAATGAATGCGTGACAAAATACATGCACGGACGAGTGACCGAACCAGCAAACGAATGAGTGAGTGAAGGAGTGAGTGGGGGGCGAGGGCAGGGGAGGGGCTGGCGGGTGCAGGAAGGAGAGCTTGGAGGCGGACACCCACCTTGCGGATCCAGTCAACGTAGGCGGACACCCGGGTGAAGACCGTGGGCTTCTTGAAGGTGTTGCAGCTCAGCCCGGAGCCAAAGCTGACGATGCCCCTCACCTCCCAGGAACCGTTCTCTGCCTGGCAGTTCAGCGGGCCTCCCGAGTCCCCCTGCACCAGACGGGCAGGTGTCAGGCCCCAGGCCTCCCCCAGAGGCAGGCTTGGGAAGCAGGGGAGGTTCGGGGTGGCCCCTCAGCCTTGGTACCCCGTGTTGGTCTCAGCCTTCCATGGTGAGGGAGGCAGAGAAGATGTGGTTTGGGGCTGCCTTTGCCTGGGTCGGGGAGGTCTTAGGGTGTCAGACTAGCTCTTGGATTGCTGTGTGATCTTGCGAAGATGGTGACCCTCGCTGTGCCTCGGTTTCCCTAGCTGTTCAGGTTGCTGTGTCTAAGATGTGTCAGGATGCTGAGGCCGGGCTGGAAAGCTGGGAAAGGGAGGCAGATGGGAATGGGAAGAGGGGTCACGTGTCTGAAAACAGGACAGTCCCCGATTGTCCTAGCTGTTTCTTGGTTCTGCGTCAGCCTCCCTAAGTCCTCTGTCTTCCTGGACAGATGAGATGGTGGCCCACAGAACATGTGTAGAGACTTTAACGAAGCCTCGTCTACGCTCGTCAGACTCATCTATTCCTCACAGCAACCCTGTGAGGTGCTTACTATGTCTCTATACTGTAGACGGGAAAACTGAGGCTCAGAGGTTAGACAGCCCGCCCGAGGTCCCATGGTTACTGAGTGGAGGCCCTGGGACTCGAATGCAGATGCTCATGCTCGAGTCTTATGCTCTCACCACAGTGCTGGGGAGAGGGGCAGGGAAGGAGGTGAGGGTGAGAAGTTTCTCCTAAGCCTCCTGGGCCCAAGTGGGGCTCAGTCTCCCCCAGGGAAAGGTGCACTCATGTGGGTCTCCCCATTCCCCACCCTCCTTCACCTTCCTCACTGCCCCCTTCTGCTTGGCCGTCTGGGGTAGGGATAGGGTGCAGGGCCTGGACACTCACGTTGCAGGCTGAGATGACGCCGTCCCCTCCGGCACACACCATGGTGTTCCTCACCAAGGCACCCCACCAGTCCCACTGGGTGCATGTGGCATGATCCACCACAGGCTGCAGGCCTTGCTGCAGCTCGTCAGCGAGGGGGCCGTTGGCTGGGGAGAGAACAGGTGGTGACCGGGGAGTCAGCCCAGGCCTTCTGGAACAGAGGGCTGGATGGGGCTGGGACAGGGCCCCTGCGAGTTCTGGTTAAACTTTATGGGAACCGCACACAAGCCCTGATGGAGAGGTGAGACTCTGAGCCAAGGACCCTAAACCGTTTGGGTTGGAGACCCTCCAGGGCAGGGAGGGGGAGCAGGCTGGAGGTAGACTAATCATAGCCCTTTGAGGTGATTTCTCTTTAATTTGGATTCTGGGGTTTTAATTTTCATCTGTTTCCTTATAGGTCTGCCTTTGGTGTCACAAAGTAAAAGGTCTTCTCACCCCAAGATTTCCCAAGTCTTAATCTGCATTTTCCTCTAAGTCTTCCATAATTTGGTTTATTCATGTTTAACCTTTTAATTTATTTGGGCATATGATATACCATTAAATCTAATTCCCTACCCTCAAACTGTTTATTTAGTTTATTTAGTAGTTACCTATGTGGCACTTAGTATGTGCCAAGCCCTGTTTTAAGCACTTGATAAATTCTAATCTGTTTAATCCTTACAGCACCTTTTCCATGCACTTGTTAGTGTCTGTTACTTGGTCTGTGCTTAATAAATATCAGCTATTATCATTACAAAGTTAAAAAGACCTGAAGATTTTTAGGCAAAAAGGAGACATGATGGGCAAATGGGGGTGGTATGCTTATTGTGGGAGCCGCTTCCTCCAGGAAGGCTCTTGTGATTTGCCAGGGGTTGTACTCACTCCAGAGAAGGCCCCAGCCGGTGACATAGCAGGAGTAGTTCTGAGGCAGCAAGGAGCCCTCCGCGGGCAGGCATGCCACCTGAATGGTGTCACTCAGCTCCACAGACTCCGCCAGCTTGATGAGGGCAATGTCGTTGCTGGAATTCAAAGTGAAGGCTTGAGTGGGCAGGAGGTCTTGGCCCCCCAGCCGATGCTAACAGGCCTGGGCTGTGAGTTGAGAGTCAGGCCAAGGGTGACCAGAGGTCCTCCCGACACGTCCTGACTGCCAGCTTCCTGCTGGCCGACAGGGATGTCAGATGACAGATGATCCCCCTTCTAATCCCATCACCCATCCCTTTTAGATGTCGCTTCTTCTTCTTCTCCCACCTGTGTCTTCACATCGTGGTAGGCTTAACAGAAGGGAGACTTGAGCGGAAACATTTTGAACCACTGCAGGCTATGTAATTAAGCTAAAGTAAATTAAAAAATTACAATGATCAAAGATGTATGGATACAAGTTTAAATGTTTTCACGTATCCAGGTTGAAAGCTGGCACCCCTAGACCGGCGTGGTTTGATTCCTACTTCTGACACATACTGGGCCGAGTGACCTGGGACATATTTTTTATCCTCTCTGAGTCTCAGTTCCTTGTCTAAGGCTGTTGTGAGGATTACATAAGAGATGGCGTATACGGTGCTTATTGCAATGTGGGCAGACATTAGGTGCTCAATAAAGGTGAGTCCTGGGTTAGCCTCTGGGTCTTTTTTCCCTGTGTACCTTCCGGGGGCTCTTGGCCAATGATGAATATGGAAGGGGTTTGCTTCCACTTAGCGTTTTGCCATTTTGTGTAAAGGGGTCATCTGCTGGCTGTTCAGAGTGAGGATGGAGTCCAGGGACAGGGTGAGGCCAGGCTCTGCAGAGACCTCTCTTTCTTCAGTGCTGCCCCTGCCCAGGGGCCATGAGATGGTCAGCTGGGCACTCACCGCAGCAGGAAGGAGTTCCACTTCTCGTGGACAAAGATGGTGTCCACACCGACGTACAGGGAGCCTTCCTCGTCAGCCACCGCCAGATTGTTCTTCCCCAGGGCCACTCGGTAGGTCAGAGTGTTGCTGAACAGAGGAGGGAGACCGGTTCAGGGTGGCCTCCTGCCCCAGCTAGCCAGTGGGGTAGAGAGGGAACTTGGAACTTTGGTGTCCCAGCTCTGTGGCCACCATGGGAATCGTTCGGGAGAAGGGAACATCCATCTGCATTGACCCTTCCCAGCGCCCAGGGTAAGGACCCCGTTCTCTGAGCCAGGTCCACTTTGACTCCTAGGTGGGCGGCCTCAGGCCTCAGTTCCCTCATCTTTAAGGTGAAGAGAACATTGGGACTGACCTTTCAGGACAACTGTGAGAACGAGCTAGTCCAAGCCGCCGGCGTCATCTTGCCTGCATCGCTCTCTAACTCACCTCTCTCCCCTCTGGACTCCGCTCTGGCCATACCCGCTTCCTCCTTATTTCTCAGAGTGGGCTCCCTCCTCCACCTGGAGCACCCTTTCCCCGGACGGATGACTTCCTTCAGGTCTTTGCTCAAATATTCTTTTTTCAGAGGCATCTTCCCCGGTCACGTCGTTTAAAATAGAACCCATTATACTTTCTATTGTCTCCCAGCCTCATTTTTCTTCATTGCTGTTTGATATGTTATATATTTACTTGTGTAATGGTCTGATGCTCTGTCTTCCACTAGAAATGAGCTAGCCGAGAGCACAGACTTTGTCCTCACTGCTATGTTCCCCGGCACATAGTAGGTGCACGATAAATACTGTCGCATGGAGAAACGAAAGCAGAGTTACTGGATATAAGCAGCTTATTTAGTCCAGCGCCTGAGAGCGTAGTAGGTGCTCCATAAAAGCGGCTTATCAAGTTGCTCCTCTGGGCGTCCTCCCTGTTTACCTGATGCAGTGGGCAGCTGTGAGCACGTAGTTGCTGGCGATCAAGGTGCCACCGCAGGTGTGTCTCCACGTGTCATTCTTGAGGTACTGAAGGGAGATCTGGAGGAGGGTGTGGAAGGGCCACATGTTAGTCCCCAGGGACCCTTACCCCATCACCCTCTCTACCCGTCTCCCACTCCTGCAGCGGTACTTACCTGCCAGGGCCAGCTGTGGGGCCTGGCATTGTCTCCTCCCACCACTCGGGCTGATAGGTTGGGCGGGAAGGTGGGGACCCCACAGCTGGAGGCTGGGGGGACACAGGAGAGGAAGAGCACAGGTGAGTGGGGCTGGCACCCCGTTGGGGAAGGGGGAGGGGGAGAGAGCACAAACTTTGGGGCTGGGAAGACGTGAGTTCAGATTTTACCGCGTGACTTTGGGGAAGGCATCTAGTTCTCTGGGCCTCAGCTTCCCTTTACGTGATGTGGGAAGAATAGCACTAACCTGGCAAGAACTAAATTAGATGATGCCTACGAAGAGTTAAGCGAAAAGCCCAGGACAGAGGGAATGCCTCATTCCTGGGAGGAAGTGAAAGGTGGCTGGCCCGCGCGTGAGTGCCTGGCTATACCTATGTCCTTTCCGCTTACCCTGCTGTCCCTTTGAAAGCCACAGTGTAATGGGGGTGCGTGAGCATTGAGTCTACAGAGTTCCAGACCGTCAGAGCTGGGAGCTGTGTGGAGCGGTCAGGTCAAGATCACGTACTCCGCAGTGAGGCAGACCCAGACTCAAATTCTGGCTCTACCACTAACCGGCCTTGAGATCTTAGGCAAGATAGGGAGAGTCACTGAGCTTGGTGTTCTTATCTGTAACATGCAGCCATTAATAGGCTCTGCCTCTCGAGGTAGTTGTGAAGATCAAATTAGCTCCTACGTATCGAAGGTTTGCTTAGTACAGTGCCTGGCACATAGTAAATGCTCAATAAACAGAGATGCTGTTATTATTACTGCCGTTATTGTTGTTAGCTAGGACTCTTAATCAAGTGCTCTCATTTGCCAAATGAGCCAGCGAGATTTAGAGAGGTGAAGTGGCTCGTCCAGGTCCTGGTGAGAGTAAGCGACATTGAGGCCAGGTTCCTTGATCCCTAATCTGGGAGAAGGCTCCAAACATAAGGGATGGCAAAGGATACCCAGTGGAGCGATGCCAACACTGACGAAAGTAGACCCCGGTGGTCCCTGGACAGACCCAGGATGAGGCATCTATGGCGTCGCTGGCCTTCACCTCACCTCATCTCTAGTCTTTACCCCGGGAGGTCAGATCATCAGCTCTATCTGCCAAGTGGACAAGGGGCTCATCTGACACATAGCTGGTCGGCAGTATCTGAACCCACATCGGAACCCCAAGCTCCTTTCCTGGAGCCCGGGAGAGCAGAGGGCCCCCCGTTCCTATCTGTGTCCCTGGGAGGCCAGCCCATACTCATAGCCCGCGGGCTGCAGCTGGTCCCCAACCCACAGCTTACCACAAGCCAGAAACGCGGCCAAGACTGTGATGCCCAGCATGTCGCTCAGGACCAATGACCACGGAGGTGGGCGGGCACACACTTATAGGCCAGGGTGAGGGGTGGCACCTGGTCAAGGCTGAGCCACCCCTCGGAGAGAAACCTGTTCTGACAAGGCCCTTTCCCTGACCTTGGGCGGTTACTGTTTAATTTGGGCAGGAGCTAGGGCTGGCTTGAGGCATGGATTTCCCAGATATCCCGAGACAGAGCAAATTTTGAGGTTTGCAGGTTTCGGGTGCCCCCACCACTCTCCATGGAGTATACTCTCCTTCTCTCTCCATAACTCGTTCTTTTTGTTATTATTTATTGGGCACCTACTGTGTGCCATGCTTCTTGTAGCCACTGACTTCTCCCAACAACATGAAGTAGACACGCTTATTCACTCCTTAAAGATGAGGCCACTGAGACTCAGGGGTCAGTGACTGTCCACGGTCATACGGCTGGGATAGAACAAAACCAGGACTGGAAGACACACGTCTCAGGCTAGTCTGGGGCTTTACGTGACTGCGATACCCCGATTTCTTCTGTTTTTATAGCTTCATCTCTTTCTTTCCTCTCTTTTTGTTGTTTTCTCTCTTTTTCCTTCTCTCTCATTCAACTAATATTGTCTGGGCCTGGGGTACCCCTTTTCTCCAGCACCTCCTCCCTGGATGGCCGTGGATGGAGGCTGAAGCAGGGACAGCCCGGCAGGTGGCTGATTGTCCAGATTCCTACCTGGAGCCAGGTCAGTTGTCTCCTTGCAAGGCCCCATCAATCTCCTCGTCTCTGAAATGGGGAAATAGGACCAGATGCACTCTAGGCTCCTTTCAGTCCTAAGGGTTCATGATTTGAATGTCAAGGTCAAGTGGCTGACCTGAATTTCTGGCCATGGTGACCAAGATCGAAGAAGCGGCCCCAGCAGGGAGGGCTCGTGTCTACTGTAGAAGGGAGCCCTGGGGGCATGGATTTCCTGTGACTGAGGGGTGGGGCTTGGAGTTGGATAAACTTGAGTACTTAAAGATGCGACTCGTTGGCCCAGACTGGGGGGCACTGATACACCATGTACCTGGATGTCATTCATTCCTACCATGTACATGGGCGCCATCCCTTCCCTCCCTCCCTCCCTCCCTCCCGCATCTGCCGAGCACCTCCTACGGCTAGGCCCTTTGCTAGGGCTGGGACTGTTGGTGGTCCCTGCCGGACAGGGGGGTAGGTATTCCTCGGAGTGTCCCTGAATGAGAAGCTAGTTCCGGGTGAGAGTTTGATGAAGAAAGGATTTCTTCTCTACAGATCCCATGCCCAAAATGAACTTGAGGACTTGAGAGGGTGAGGATGCTCGAATCCCGCCCCCATAGGGCTGCAGTGGGGCCTCCCAGGATCTGGGCCCTCAATATCTCTCAGCCACTCAGGGTCAGACTGTGCTGGAAAAATGACCCTGGGCACTTTGGCTGGCTCAGGGGAGGGGGAACCTTAATAGAAGTAAAGCCAAGGTTGGGAGTGGCAGGGCTGGAAGGGCCTGAGAAACAGGGCAGGTGCCACTGCCCGGGTTAGTCATTGGGACAGGACTCTCGGTGGCAGCTGTCATCCCAGGTGAGGCCACAAAGGGAGGGCTGGCTGAGTTTCTCCTCAAAACCAGATGGAAGGACTGTGAGTTCAGAGAGGGTTTGGGGGCTGAGTGAGGGGTTTGGGTTTGGTGATGGGGGCCGGGACTCTTTGGGGGAGTCTCGGTGAGAGGCTGGGACCTGGGGAGGGTTTTAAGGAACTGTCTCCCTTTCTACTCTTGGTCCCTGAATATTTGGAGGCTCTTCATTCCTCAGCCTGTGCCTTCTGCCCTGGCTGGGAGTCAGGGGGGTGGATGGGTCTTCTGCAGGCTGAGGCCGAGGGCCCTCTCCCAGCTGAGAGCTGTTAGTAGAGGGCCCCGGCATGGGACAGCTGGCCCATCTCTCGCATCCCGAGGGCTTGAGGCTCACATCCATCGCCGGGCCAGCTAGGCGGGGACTCGAGCTGAAATTTTAGCCCTTCCCTGTCAGCATCTCTCCCTCTGTTCTGAGACTGTTTTCATTAGAAGTTTAGGAATCTGATGTTCTTCCCATACTTAATCTAACAAGCAGGGTTGATGGTGGTGGCATCTCAGGCATCAGGTGGCATGTAGGGGTGGCATTCTCCAGGAAATACACAAGGATACAGCCCTCCCCATGTCTGCCCTGAGGAAGCCAGAGGCAAACGGTATCCTGGCTGCTGTAGTACCACGCACGTCCACCTGGAGGCTGTGATGCTCCGCCTAAACCCCATCTCCCAAGCCCCACTCAGGTGGCACATGGGGGTGCCCTACCCGGAAACCACAGGGCTGAGAAGACCTTGAGACTCTAGTCAGCTCTCATATGGAGACTGGGACCCATTGGGAGCCTGATCTGTCCCAAGACACACACCGGGAACACCCTGGCTCTTTTCTGTGTGTGTGGTGGGGAAGGTTTGGGGTATCTGTTTGTGGGAGTCTCGGGGGACTCTAAGGTGCATCAATCCAGAATTCCCATGGCCTTGGTGCCACTTCTGACCATCACGCTGTGTGCCACGGCCCCAGACACTCACGCCCCCTCTGAACTCACCAAGCAGCGTGGTTGGATGGTAGGGGCCCAGGCTGTGCGCTCAGTGGCCTTGGCCTGCACCCTGTTGGCCCACTTGCCTGTGTGCCTCTGGGAGACTTTCTGCGTCTCCCTGTTCTTATCTGGGAATAAAACAGCACCCGTGTCATGGGCTGGTTTTGAGGATTAAATGAGTTAATACCTGTAACTTGTGTCTGGCGATAGCGGGTGGACATCGGACTCAACCTGTCCCATTAGGATGAGTCCCTTCTTCTCCCGGGCTCGACATGACACAGGAGACACCTGAGCAAATGCTGCCCTAGCACCCACGTGTCCTCATCCCTGTTCCCCCCCGTTCCCATCCCCTCCATCCCCCACCAACCAACAAGAACCACACACACATAAGAATATAGAATTTTATCTTATTTTAGTTAAAAAAAATAATTGTACCACCGAATGAAGAAGTAGCTTTTTGGGGGGGGTCGGGGAGGGGGGGAGGTGAGAAGGGAGGAATAAGAGAGCAATAAGCCAAAAGAAAAAGAACCTTTTATATTCATCTGTATAAACATATCCGCTAAGGCAAACGCAATCCAGGGCCAAGGCTGCTTCACGGGGGTCAGTACCTCCTAATTTTTGCAGATTCTAAGGCCAAAAAAATAAAACCTCTGCAAATCCAACGGGAGTTTCGTAGACTCTTGGAGCGTTTTACTAAAATAAAGTTATCGAGTTTAAAAAGCAGTGGACGCTGTCATGACACCGAAAGTTGCATAACTGGGGCCTCGATGGCCACTCACTGGTTTGGACTGGGTGACGGGCACAGTTTCACGACACGGTGACAGGCACACGCAGACACGCACACACACGAGCGAGCACACGGGAGATGCGCAGGACCGGGCCCGTGGCACAGCGAGGGCTGGGGTCCCCATGCTTCCTCAGGAGGTGGCTATGATGGGACAGGTCCTGTCGCTGGTGACAAGGCGGCGAATGTCACTTGGGGAAGGATGGTGAGAAAGGGCTGGGCGAGGTCCCCTGCTTCCCACTGTCTGGTCCGTGCAAACCACATAAAGCACTTCTTAGACGCCTTCCGGAGAAGACAGCGCTGGTTCCCTCCCCGGGAAGAAGCCATCCCTCTCCCCCACGCTGCTCTCTCCAGAGCCCCTGAGATCCCCGGTTGTCCCAGGGGGACGAGGGGGTGGCGCGTTTGCCCCAGAGCCTTCCCTGCCCACGATACATGGCATGGCTGGGAGAGTGTGGGCCTGTGAGGTAGATTGACACAGCTGCCCCCTCACCCTGCCTGGCTGGGTCCCCGAGAGCTGGGGTTGCATGGCATGCCAGAGGCCTGGGTCCTTTCACAAAAATAGGAGTCTCTCCCCGCCTACCCCCCCGACTCCAGTAGAGAAGAGGCAGGGCTGGAGGCACAGGGGCTGGGGCTGGGGCACCCCTGTGCCTCTGATCAGCTCCATAGGTCCCACTCCATGGAGCCGGCCACGATTGTTGCCATCTGTCGCTCCCCCCAGTCTAAAAAGGGGCTGAGGGCAGTACAGCCTGTGGGTTGAGGGCAGGAGGCCTCCGGGCAGGGGAGGAGGTGAAAGGGAGAGGCACAGGGGAGTGGAGGGGTGTGTGTGGAGGGCAGGCACATGGGCAGGGCAGGGCGCGGCCCTGGAGCGGGCGGGGGTGCCAGAGAGACTTGGGGATGCCAGGGAGGTCTGGGCCAGGCAGGGAGCCAGCGCTGGTGTCATGGTCTCAGGACAGGGTCCCGTGGCAGGGAGTGGGGAGAGGTCAGGCCACGTCTGTGAGACCCTTCACGTGGCCTCGCTCACAGACACCTGTAGGTTTTTAGGATGGTCCCTTCAGACAGAGCTGAGCATTCAGGCTCAGCTTCCAGTTTGTCCGCCCTCCTGCCCTCGCTGGCCAGACTGGGCGCTGGGCGGGGGCCAGGCGGTCTGGCCACAGCCCCTCGCTACTTGAAGGTGGACTGCAACTCCTTGAAGGCCGCTTTCCGCTGCTTCATCTCCTCCGCCTGCTTCTTCCTCTCTTCCTGCTCAGCCTTGATCTCTTCCTCGAAGCGGCTGGACACACTGATGGCCTGGACCTGGGGTGAAGTGGGGGTGAGGGGCCTCCGCGTGGGCTTTCTCTGGGCTCCTCCCAGCAATGCCCACACAGCTCCCCTGCTCACTAGCTCCGGCCCTGGGTCAGGCATTCCATTTACCTCTCGGGGCCTCAGTTTCTCCATTTAGAGCTTGGTGCTCAATAACTGACCCCATGGATCCATGGGGAGGATTGAAAGAGAGAACATACATTCAGTGGCTGTTGCATACTATGGGTCCTGTAACTTCTGATGTACCCTTCTCCTGTCTCCTGTCCGGGAGAGTCCAGCTGCCCACTGGTCCCACTGATGAACCCCGAAACACCCCCTCAGCCCTCAAGGCCCAGAAGGAGGTGGGAGGCGGCTTTTGGAAGGAATGTTCTTAACTAACATGGGAAGAGGGAGAAACACAGGAAGGTGGGTGTCCCAGGGCCCTGGGAGGGCAGGATCCAGGGGCCACACCTGTTCCCTCCATGTCAGCGTGTGCTGAAAGGGCAGGGTGCTGTGCACGATGGTGGCCTCTGGGGTCTGCCAAACTCCCTCCAGGCTGGGGCTGGAGGGGCTGCTGTCTCCAAGAGGCCCCGGGAGCCAGTGTTTCTGGGCCTGCTCTGCTCTCTCCCAGGCCCACCCTTCAGGGCCCCGTTCTGCGGGGTAGTGCCTCTATATGCCAGGGGCAGCTCAGTCTCTGTCACCTCTTCAAGAGTATATACTTCTCACCTACCCCCCAGGGCAGGGAGAAAACGGGGAAGCTGGAAAGGATCACGGTCTGGATGGGAGACAGACCCAAGGAGCACAGCGGGCCTTGCCCAGCCCAGCTGGGGTGTCAGCTCTCCATGTCTTGTCTACGGCCTCAGCAGGGACGGGGAGGGGAGGTGCTGACCCGAGAGCTGAGGTCCTATTTAACCCCGGCCAACGTCCTGGAGCCGGGGTCAGGTCGAATCCCAGCCTAGGCTTGGCGTGTCCTTCGATGCCTTACCTTGGCCTCAAAGAAGCTCTTGGCCCCCTTGACGCCCTCGGTGGAGACGTCGATCTCGGAGAGGCGGGCCAGCACGTGCAGCCCGCTGTCCTCCTGCAGCTCCCCAGCGGCCGCCTTGCGGAAAATCAGGAGGAACTGCGGCAGGGAGAGAGGCACACAGTGTCGGGGGGAGGG